TAGTTTAACTTGTTTGGTGACAGGGTGGTTTGTTTCAGTCTCTGTCTGTAGGCCAGGTACAGGAACAAAGAAATATGCATAACTCCCTCTCCGGTGCTGTTGTAGCTGGCCGGCACACTGGAAACCGGCAGGTGTATCTTCCAGCTCCGGTGCTTTAATTTGCATTCATCATAGTGACTGACTCGCACGCCAATCCATTTGTTTTCCTAACCTCAACATTTGTTTACTGTGTTTCATATCACAGGCCTAAAGATTTCAGTAGTTGAGTAGTGGAGCTCACAGCTCACAGTGACAGCAGAGGCTCCGGGCTAAGTAACAGGTAAGAGAAGAGAGGAGGAAAAAAAAAGGTAAGGAGGAGAAATAAGAAGAGAAGAGGAAAAGAGGAGAAAAGAGAAGAGGAAAAGAGGGAAAAAGAGAAAAGAGGAGTGGAGAGAAGAGGAGAGAAGAGGAAAGAATGAGAAAAGAGAAGAGGAAAAAAGGAGAAAAGAGAAGAGGAAAAGAGATGAGAAGAGGAAAAGAGGAGAAAAGAGAAGAAGAAAGGAGGGGAAAAGAGCAGAGAAGAGGAGAAGAGAAGAGGAAAGAAGGAGATCAGAGAAAAGGAAATAAGAAGAAAAGAGAACTGAAAATGACAACAAAGAAGAAGAGAAAAGGAAAAGAGGAAAACATAGAATTGGAAAAGAGAAAAAAGAGAAGAGGAAAAGAGGAGAAAAGAGAAGAGAAGAATAAGCAGAGAGCTTTCCTCTTTGTTTCCTTGTGGCAGTTTAAACCAGGAGTCTGTCTGCTCTGCATATGGAACCAATTTGAAATGTGAGAGTATAGGGACTGCATGAAAGACAGATAGTTAGGAGATAGAAAAAAACTGTTTTGACTTTCCAGCCAAGCTATTTTCAAAGTTGACCTCTTTACAAAAAACTTGGCGGAATGCAAATTGCCAGGCAGCACAGCAAATGAACTGCATTTATGTAGTGCTTTTCACTTCTTCATAGCCTCTCAGAGCGCTTTACATCATTACATTACCTATTTGCATGCAGTCCCAGAGTGAGTGTATCTTCTTTCCTTTAATTTGGTAAAATTTCTTCTATTTTCATTTTACATGTGAGGAATTCATTCTAATCCCAAATCACCGCTTGGTCAGTGCAGTTCATGTCTACATATTTCGCACTAGGTGTCCTCCAGCATTTGTTTGCATGTGCATGTGTTTTTGACAGCATGTCAATTTACACCATGCAACACAACACGTGGTTAGGTTTAGGCAACACAAACACAACCATCCACCCATCCACCACCTCTCCCCCTTTAGTCTGATACCGTCCAGTGGCATATCATGCCAGTTGCCATCCGGCCGACCAGCAGCATATCATGACACCACAAAAGGTTCCCTCCGGCTGTGTTACAAACCGACACCATCCGGCAGGTGTATCATACCACCACAAAAGGTGGCTTTTGACAAAGCGGCGGTGTTTGGCAACTTTGGAATGAGAATGGCCTGATCTGAGATGACTAAACTCCATAGATAAATTGACTGACAGAGTGGGAATGAAACTTACAATTATTTTTTTGTTTATTACTCTGCCCATTATTTATATAAAGTTAGAAGTTAAGGTCCCACTGATGTCACAGCAGCAGCAGTGCCACGCACGGGAATTATGTGGTGACCTCCCAATGCCAACCTCTGATGCAGAGTGCCAAGCGGGGAGGCAATGGGTCCAATTTTTCATAGTCTTTGGTATGACCCGGCCAGGGATCGAACCCACGGCCTCCCAGTCTCAGGGCGGACACTCTACCACTAGGCCACTTAGCTGGTAATATCTATCAGTCATCATTTGATCTGTAAAGTATTATAAAACATGAAAAAATGTCCAAAACTATTTTAAAGTGCTCATTTAGTCTGACCTACCAGTCTCAAATACAAAGATTTACAGTGAATTACAATGGTAGGCAGAGCAATACAATACACTCAACACTAACAAACTAATGCTGCATTTTTATAAACTATGATAATCTCGCTGCATCCAGATGTCGTCTCATTCCCTCTATATCTCCTCACACCTCTGAAAAAACTGGGTGTTTCTTTTTTTTTTTCAAATTTAGCATATTGGATTGTGATATTTCCTGCAACTTCAGTAATATGTGCTGTCTATGCCTTTGTCTTTGTCTGTCTGTATCACAGCAGCCTACAGTGTTATTAGACTGTTACTGATGACGTGTAAACAATCAGATGCTGTGTCAGGCCACTGAACAAGGCTACAGAGTGGTGGCTACAGACCAGTGGCGGCTGCTGGTCTTTCAAACAGGAGAAGCTCACTTTAAGTTAACATCATAAAATTTGTCATATTTTAGCGAGGCAGTAACTTATAAAAGGAACATTTAATTGAAGCTGTTTTTCAACCACACTCATGCCATAGAACCACAGCAAAACACACCTCCAAGATTTTCAGATGGGTTTAGTTGTGTGTACTTTACAAACGATGAAAATTAGTTATATTGCTTATGGAAATAAAGAACTCCGGATAGCACTCTGTCAAAAGACTCCACTCGCAAATATCTGCATGGGACTGAGCTCAAAATGTGACGATGCCGGTGTGTATTTCAAAAGCGCTGTCAATCAAAAAGGGGTTCAGCCTTTTAGACAATTCCTCCAATCATCATGCATACACCGGGCGTCTTCTCCCGCCTACCGCTCCATTAGGTCCCAGGGAAGCTAAAGCCCTTTTTACACAGAGTGCACAAAGCACAGACCTCCGCCAACGAACCCATACTTACCCTTACCCAGACTTATCATATATCGCGACAGGCCTACCTCCTCACACAATTTCTTTCAGTTTGCTTTCTTGTAATCAAAATTTTCATTGCTTTTTGACATAGAAATTAGTGGTGGGCGATAAGACCATAACATATCGTCTTGCGATAAACACTTATGCGCCGTCCATAGAAAAAACGTTTGATGTAACGTTCAATAATGTTAGTGTATTCTGTCAGGAAAAAAACACGAGGAAAGCCGCGCAAGTTACCCTCGGAGTGAGGCTGTGCAAGGCTGGTTGCGTGAACACACTCACTTGCTCCCTGGTAACCTAGCAACGGCGTCATGCAAACAGCTAACAACGTCAGGTTTGGTTGAGCTTATAAGTCACGACTTTGGGCTTGTTTTTTTTTTTTTTAAAGTCGCTTACAAATATTGGTAGTCGTGGGTTACATTTTTTTGGGCTTGTTTCTAAAGTGGAGTTGCTTATTTGGGCTTGCTCTCTAAATGTCGTCTTTCTCTACATATATATATATATATCCGTCTAATAAGTTATTTAAATGCATGATAGTATGTCGGACTGTAGGATGTTTCCACAGCTCCGCTCCCTCCGCCCCTCTCCTTCTCCGCATACACACAGCTGAAGGTCAGTCAATGAGACTTTTCACATTTAAATTGCGTGATTAATAGAGGTTCTTTTAATATTTCGCTAACAAGTGGGCGAAATATGGAAAGAATACAATAAAGATTTGTAGAAAGAGAGAGGATTAAAAGATTCAACTTCAAGAGGCGGACGATTCAAAGGCAGTGTGCAGATTCAGATTCTGTGTGAAATATGTACTCAGCATTCAGATCTTGTTTAGCATACCACTACTGTTACAGTAAAGTAAAATGGCTTGTTATATGCAACTTCTTTACTTTCGTTTTCATTCATTCATTTATTCTTTCCATGTTTTTGGTCGGCTAGCTGGTTTGGTAGAGTTCAAGGGCAGTAAATATAATGTATTTGTAAAGTAATTTTTATTGCTGGTCCTGGTTGCTTGTTTCTCTCCCAAGATCTGGCAACGCTGAACACAACACAGTGTGGAGTGAGTAGCAAGAATGAGTGCAGATAGTGAGGAAATATTCGAGTAGTAGTTTTTATACCATCTTGTGTATGTTCATTTATTTGAGTGTTTTCTAATGGTTGTGTTGACATTACACTTTGCTCCGTGTGCCTTGACTGATGACTGTGATTGAAATCTGCAGAAAGCTATTGAGTTTAAAATAAATGTGTTAAAATTGATTTATTTTCTCCTGGTCCTTATTTTAAACTAGTCCATAACCATTGAGTGCACAGTTGCCCACGTACAGTTTCACATGGTGTGTGTTTGGGATACAGGTCATAGGAAATTTCAGATTAAATAGTCAAGTGAACCCATTAAGAAGAGCAATGTATTCAGACAGAGTTTTTGTGAATTTGATAGTATGATTGCTTTATTGAAAGTACAGTAGTACCATTGCCAATATTGGGATAGTTAGTGGGCTAAATCTGTACATTAGTAGTTGAGGTAGCACGTTGAAAGGCAGATAGTTAAAAGTGTTTATGTTGTATTGACTTAAAAGTGGGGTGCGTTGGTAGTTCACATGGGAAAGGTGCAGCTAGCCCTTGTTGCAGCAGCATACTGTAGCCTATGGTATCTGGCCACATGGGGAGACACAGCTATCGGTCGCATTTTAGCCGTTTTTAAGCATTTTTCTGTTGTTATAGCGCCACCCAGTTGCCAGTTAGAGTAAAATTTCTCCAGTCACCTTGAGGCATCCTGTTCTACATATCTACCAAGTAAAGTAAAAATCAATATGGCAGTTAGGCCTAGATAAGAAATGAGCTCTGACTCGTGTGGATTACATTTACTCAGTTGAAAATGCACTTTTATTGCAGTAAAGGGTCTTAATCACCTGCTTCTTCCACCAAATGTAATATTCTAAGGTGGGGTATTATCTTATCAGTGAGCTACACTATATCACATTTGCTTCTCTGGTCTCTTGATATGAAAGTGTAGGCTATGACAACAATAACACGAAGGAAACCAGCCACAATACCCATTGTAACGACTGTAATGCTCGTGCCAACAGCTGATATCCTTCAAGTATGAGTCATAAGTGAACTCGCATCTATCTGCCTACTCAGCACTTTGCTGAGCCCAAACTTTTCAGACTGCTCCGTCTTGTCTCAGGCTGTACGGCTGAAGGGGAAACGTTAGCATGAAAACAGCCTTACCATGGTTCATATCGCCGGTCGAGTTCATTCCGCTCCAGCCTCTTTACATACAGACATCGCGTCGTCTGGAGGTTGATGATGTCCACACACACAGCCTGGACAGCCGGTGGTCCTGAAGTTGTAGCCGCGCACGAGTCACTCAATAACTTTAGTGAGCAAATCTGTCCACAGTTAACTCAACCATGCTGTAAGAAGTTAGCTGAGTGCCACAGGTAACATCACGGTATGGTAATTTTTTTGGTTGGAGATTTAAAATTGATCCACAGGCTGTCTCTAGCCCAGCCTCCCCTCCCAGGGGAACGCGTAACTCCACGCGAGCGTCTGGGAAGCTGATTTAAAAGTAAGAGCCTCTGTGTTTGGAGGAACGCCGTCTGGTTGGAGTGAAATATGAGAAGTCTTCCTCTCCACATCATAAAGTTTCTCCCAACTGCCACAAAACTCAAGACAGAGGTTGATAGGGAATAATTTAGACTATAATGCAAACAAACAAACAAACAAACAAACAAAAACACTTAAAATATTTTAAGATACTAATTCATGGGAAATTCATGACAAATTTAAATTGTCTTTGTAATGGAAAGCAAACATAATGCTATGCAGCGAGAGATGGCAACTATATTCTTTAAATAAAACATCAAATTCAGTAATCCAAGTTGTGAGAACGTTTTTTCAACTTCTTAAAGATAAAAGGAGTGTCACCGTTAATAACTACCAGATCTTTTCTGACCTCTGCTGGTGACTGTAAAGCTTGCACTGATGTCGTCACCGATAAAAAAAAAAAACATGCATGTAGAATTACACTGACATAACAGGTACATATTTTACTAGCATGTCCCTATACATAATGTACACTTATTTTTTAACTATAGCCTACTTTAAATTATAGGTCATAAATCATCCTAGCCTTGCATCATCAGACCAACCTGCAAATGCCAGCACAAATAAAACACGAGCTGGCAGATTTGTCTGGTCCTTAGGTTACACACATTCTGCTCTCTATCTTTGACTCAGTATGCCCTGCTGCTTTTCCTGTCATGGCCTCTGTATGCCATGTCCTCAGAAATACGTCAATCTATTTATTATCCTTCAGTCTTATACTACCACCTAGTGACGTAAAGTAATAATGTGGTTTTAGTCTGGAGTTAAAGGACCACTGTGTAGGATTTGATTTGTAATACACACACACATGCACAAACAGGACCTACACATGCATTGAATGGGAGGTGGCTGCCATGTTGCCCTGCCATGTTTCGACAGTTTTCTGTTTTCTTGCATCAGCCACTGTAATAAGAAGAGTTACACTGATTTGTAACGTGAAACTGCTTTATTTCTAATCACCTGCTCCAGTTTTGGAGAGGTTAAGACCTTTGTGGATAACCTTTGTCTGGATCTCTCCATTGATGTAGCCTCCCGCAGTAACATGCCAGACTGTGTCAAAAATACATGGATTTGTGGGGCATTGGTAGCGTAGTGGATAGTGCCGGCGCCCCATGTACAGAGGCATCGCCTCACTGCAGCGGCCGCGGGCTCGAATCCGGCTCGCGGCCCTTTGCTGCATGTCCGTCCCCACTCTCTCTCCCTGTCTTCCCATTTCACCTACTGTCCTGTCAATAAAGCCAATAAAAATAATCTTTTAAAAAAAAACATGGATTTGTAAATTGAAACTGCATTATTCTGTGTTTTTACCTGTTTTCAAGGTCTGTTTCAAAATGTCTGTATCATCTGTATCAAAAAAAGGTGGGTACATATTAACTTGTGAGAGAAAAGGGGAGAGCTCACAATAGCATGTTGTGGGCAAGCCGCCTGTCTCTGAGAAGCCAAAAAGCATCAGAGATGCACTCATGTGTAACGTGAAACAGCTTTATTCAGTGTTTTTAGCAGTTAAAATCACCTGGTTTGTTTGTTTTGGAGAAGAAGAGATCTCTGTGGGCAATTCAGCTCCAGAAAAAAAACTCTTGAACAAGGAACAGTGAAGGAATTCTAGCTAGGAGAAGTTTTGACTGGTTGCAATCTGCAATTCCCTGATAGACGCCACCAAATCCCACTAAATATTACACACTTCACCTTTAAGTTTCACTTTTGCTTTAGTAGCAGAACACATGGCCAGTGCTGCAGGTTACTCACACTTTGTGTGCTCTGTGGTAGGACATTTTCCTCATAAATCCTTATTAATCTGTTATGATTGTGAAACGTAGACATTGTTCATTTTATACATTATTAGAATTGCTGTTTTTCTAGTTAGCATGAAAAAAAAATCTGTTAGGTTAGCTGCCAGTCTGAAGTCTGTGTCACCTAGAAAAACAACTGCACGCTGTTATGATTTCTGTATCCATTTACTCACCCTGATTCCAATATTTCTGTGATGATAATTTTGGTTACTAGATGATGTATGATCTAGGAGACTTTAATCGTGGACATTTTTCTATTGATTTGTGTTTAAGTTTCACACTGTTTGATGAAAACTCCATGCAGCTGACATCAGCATGTTAGCATTGTTATGTCAACATGCTAGCGTGCTGATGTTAAGCAGGTATGCTATAATATTATCACTGTCACCATCTTAATTTGGCGTGTTAGCATGCTAACATTTATTCATCAGCACTGTTGTTGGTTTGCAGGTATTTGGTCATAAGCCAATATATTAGTCAAATAGAGTTTCCACCTGATGATGGCGCTAGATGAAAATTGAAGGGATCACATAAGTTATGAGGATCCATCCTCTGGTTATAATAAATGGCTGTACCAAATTTACTGGCAATCCATACAATAGCAACTGAGACATTTCACGGGGTAATGGAAAACTTATTAGTGTTGCTAGAGAGCAAGTCAGGGATTTGCCAAATGTATTAGGATCCATCCACTGGAGACAGCAGATGTCTGTACCACATTAAATGGAAATCCATCCAGTAGTTGTCGAGATATTTCAGCCTGGACCAAAGTGGTGGACCGACCAACAGACCTACATTGCCATCCCTGGAAAAAAATTTAAAAAAAAATGTGCGACCTGCCTAACTTATGTTAATATTGTATTTTACTACAAACTATTCATGTAGGCTAAATCAGTGGACCTTTTTTTTGGCCAGTATGAAGAGAAGGAATAACTGAAGTGACCAACAGTGCTTTAATGTATGGATTGCGTTGAGACATACCATACAAAAATGTGAACCTATACTTTAACTCTGCTTCTAACTTTATGATCTACAGGCATTTGACATTGCTGAGATGGAAATATATGGTTAGTCTTTTCTTTGTCTTTCCCCTTTCCATTCCAGTTTGTATGCTACTGAGGTTAATTTCAGTTCCTGAAAATGTTATGAGTTATGAGAGGGGGGAATCTGCTTAGGTGCTGGAATCATGCAATAACAATAAATCAGTGACTGGACCTGAAACATGGCCTTACACACTATCAAGACAAAGTTTAAGGCATAGTCTTAGATATCTATCATCTCATGGCCCCTTCACATGATATGGACAATATGTGTTAAGTTACTGACATGCAGTAAAACAAGAGTGCAAATGTCACATATTTTCTCTGTTTTAGTGCTCGGTGCTTTTTGAGAAACATGGGAAAATAAAGGATGCCAGTGGGAATATGCTGATATGTTATACTTTATTCAATCTTCTTTCCCATCAGAGAAACTTATGAGAATCTGCTATAGGACAAAAATGGTTAAATAGAAAGGGCTAGTCTCAATAGTATGTGGTGCATATTGCATCAGAGATGCCTTAATACATCCATATCCAGTGAACATGCCAGGAGGAGAGGTCATCATGTGGTACCCAACCTTCATCAATTGTTTCGACCCATAATCACAACAGTCTCCAGTTGGTTGGCCGGCAGTGGTGGCCAGGTCACTGCTCCTCTCCCCCAGGCTTCCATCAAGTGTCCTCCCTCTTATGCCAGAGCACACAGGGGGCTCTTTCTTCTGCTTCTCCCAACATTCAAACTGCAGTTTTCCTCTTTTGTCCCCTTTCTCTAACTTTTGTCATCAGATTCCACACGCATTGAGCTGGGAATCCTCAGCATTCTACTTCCACTGAGAACGGTCATGTTGTCCATCCTTTGTCCCTGCAATCCCAGACCAACTGTTGGTGCTTGGCTTTTTTCCCTCTCAGCCACTTCCTCACAGTCCTCCTCCCAGGGGACTATTAGTTCTGCCAGGATTACTTTCTTTCCCTCCTAAGACCACATGAGATGTCTGGTTTCAGAGTTGTAGATATTTACTCTGGGATCTGTAGTTTTGTTCCAGGATAAGCCTTCATTTCCAATCCCTGGGTGGACTGCAGCAGATTTTGTTTTGCTTCACCCTGGACATCAGGCTTCTTACCTCTTTCACAAAGCTGATGTTACAGTGTCTTTGTTTTGGCTGGGTGTTGCTCAGATGTTGCCAATACCTTGTTATGGCGCCATCTGTATCCCTCCTGGGTCAGAGCTGTTTTGCACCCTGATAGAATGTGCACTTTGGTTCTTTTTGCGCCACACAACCTACACGGGGGTACCTTCCTCATTTCCCACCTGTGCAAGGCTCCAGACCTCATCCTGGATCAAGGCTCTCTTTTCCTGAAGAAAGGACTTAATACAACTGATGTACACAATAATTTGCAAATTATTATTATTATTATTTATTTTACAAATATTTTACTAATAACTTAAAATGTTATCAGATTCATTTACAAGTACAACTCAACTTGACTACAGTATATTATATTTATATGTAGGCTACTCATGATGCATTACATTTGTGTATTTGTCTTTGACTCTTTATCCTCTTGATATCCATTTCATTAATCCTTCCCCCTCTGTTTCCTGTCATTGTCTGTCAGGCTTTTGATGCATTAAAGCTAAAAGCCATGAGTGTGACAAAGTTAATGGATGATGTTTTAGACAAAACTGGACAACAAAGTGTCCTGGTTATGTTCAGAATGACCAGGGTCATCCATTAGTCACCCAAACAGTGGAGTTAGGACAGGAAGAGAGGAAAGGATGAATGGACAGATGGTAGAGTTTTGTTCACTCTAGCTCAGAGTTTGTTCGTCATTCCGTCAGAATTCTGCAGTATGATGATGCATTTGATTGCTGTTACTGCACATCACATTTTGTGTAGATAAATTCTGTAAATGAATCAGAAACAACGGGAGTATTTGGACTCTTCTGCACATCTTTTCTGAAAGGAGTTGTATATCCTAACACCAATTTAAGGTGAGTTACAGAGCCTTTAAGAGTACAGCACACAAGTCAACCTTTTTTTTTTCATGAATGATACTCAATGTTGACTTAAAATACTAGCCTTAAGCCTCCTAGTAAAACAAAAGTGA